CATTTCGCATGCAGGAGGGCGATGGCAGGTGAGCGGCCGGAGAGAGCTCGCCCACCACGTAGAGGCGGCAGCAGCAGCCTGCCGACTTGCAGCAATACCTGTACAATACCTGTAACATTACGATAATTGAAGACACAGCAGTGGAGGGATGCCGTCCCAGCGTGGGCTCTGCTAACGTCTAGTGGGTGTGTGGGGGCAACGGACGCTGCTGTGAATGGCGGCGGCGGCGGCGTCTGAGCCATTCAGAAGGTGGAGCCGTCACACCCCCGGCGGCGGGATGTGTTGGGCTAGCTGGCTACCAATCATTTGGATCTTGAGGCGGAAGCGACCAGGGTGGCAGTGGGATGCCAGTGGCCCACCACCGGTATCTCGAGACTCCGGACAGCGTGCAATACGCGCTAGCTCCAGTGGGAGCTGTTGCGCCAACTCAGCTGAGGTTGGTTGGGTGCTGTCACAGACGCGGGCGTGGGAGTGGTATCGGTGCTGGCAGCGGCTTGGAAAGTGCACCGTAGCTGGGCACAGCCCCTTGGCCGTCCACTGTCCCACCCACTCCAATGTGGCATTAGCTCTGACTGGCTGCTGCTGCTGAGAACTGACTGATTGTCATGAGATGGCCGAGCGAGCCTCAGACAGCTCCCGCAGGTGAGACGGCCACAGAGACCCGGCATTCCAGTCAGCAGCCCTTCTCCGTCGGCTCTCATTGGCAGGATGAGCTGATGGCCAAGAGACTCGGTATCGGGCTACCATAATATTATCCAACTCGTATCGAATCTGGAGGCATGTCACCACTTTCATCGGTCGAGGTGCATGTTACGTACTAACCCAAGACGCTAGCCCACCCACCCATCGCCAGGCTTCATGCACGAGCAAGGTTCTCCCCTTTCAACGAGTGGGGATTGACAGCCTCGTGCAATGACTGGCAGCCCGTGCTGAACATTACTATTAATCTCCCTGTCCCGCCATCTTCGCGAGTCTTGACTGCGTTCACGATCCTTTCGCCTCTATCCGACTTTCTGTCCTCGTCCCATCAAATCATTGCCAGACAGGACCGGAACAGTAGGATCTATCTTGCCCTCATTCGACAGCAATTCCCCAGCCAGGACCCGCTCCTCAGTTTCGAAAACCCAAGGCGCCTTCCATCCAAGTGCTCTCGTTCTTCGCCTCGACTTTTCTCTTCCACCCACCGTCTCTTTCAAACCCACATTCTTACTACTGTTTGCGACCTCACCACAATCTATTACCGCCCGCACACTACCTTCGCTGTAACACATACTCCATAATTTCTCCAGATCTACTTGCCCATACTTTGCCACGCAACGATGGGCGACGAAATTGCGCTGCTTCGACAACAGCTTCAGCAAAGTCAAGCAGAGAACCGTGCCCTCAAGCATCAGCATCTTCAGCTCCTTAGGACCCAGTCCCATGGGCCGGTCTCCTCACAGCTCACCAATGCAATTCACCAAAGCCAGAGGGTAAATCCCCTCGCCCGTAGCCAGTCGACGTTGGGCTACAGCACCCTTAGCGTACGTATTTGCCCTCCCCTCCATCATCGCTCTTCCCTGCCACCGCCCTCCATTTTTTATGCGATCGCCCTCTTACACCGACAGCAGGACTATGCCACCCAGAGCCCAAAGGGCGTTGCGCGCCTAAATCGGGTATACTCACATCAGTCGCCTATTTCGATGAGCAGAACCGCATCGGCCCGCTTCGAGTCCATGCCTTTCCGCCCAACTGGTCCTATCTCACCGCTCGAAAGCCAGCCGTTGTACCGCTCTGCGTCTGACCAGTCCCGCATGAACCACCGTTCCTCCTCTCAACAGAGCCTCGCCAACATTCAGGAGAACGATGTGCTCCCTGGCGTGGGTGTAAACCCAGCGGAATTCATCGCCAACTACCCGGAAGACGAGGGCACCTATCTCGCAACCACGAGGCCTCTGGCACCCAACGATATCCAGTTCTTTCAGAACGCCTCATCATGCCCCTCCATGTACTCTGGTGTGACGGCGCATGATGCCCCAAGCCCTTTGTCCAGACAGAGCAGCGCCCTTGACGGCGGGCACAACTGGGGTGTTGATATGGTCAACACAGTCTCGTCGCAGTCCATGTTCGCCGCCGGCTCCGAGAACATGCTCTTCCCCAATATGAGCTTCAACCAATCGTCAGACGGAAGCCCGAAGCATCACCCAGCAGCCAACCAAGATCTCCTGGGTCTTGGTGCGAATCTGCAGGATGCATCGCCGTTGTCATCGTATGCACCCACGAGCTTTGACACTAGCTTGACTAGCGACCTGTCCGCTGACCTGTCCGCTGAGATGGAGCGCATCGACTCCAACGAGAGCACCTCCAGCACCCGCTCTACCGCATCCAATCTAGAGCGGCGTGCCAAGGAGCGTCATAGACAGGTCCTCGAGAACAGCAAGAGAGGCATCGTCCCCAAACCACAGGAGTCGGACGCCTCGCCACCTACCATCAAGAAGAAGAGCAAGGTTCCGGCTAACAAGCTCGGCTACCAGCGTCGCAAGCAACCCCGTGTCTTCTGCACCCAGTGTTCCGAGCACCCTGGTGGATTCAGAGGTGACCACGAGCTGCAGCGTCATATCAGTGCTAAGCACGCTATTGAAGTTACCAAGTTCGTATGCCGTGATCCAACCTTGGTTGGTCTAAAGTCCGGTGTACAGCCCAAAGTACCACTCAAAGGCTGCAAGAGCTGTGAAAATGGCAAGCAATACGGAGCCTACTATAACGCCGCAGCCCATCTCCGCAGAGCTCACTTTGTTCCCAAGTTGTCTCGTGGTAAAACCAAGACCGCCGATGAGAAACGAGGAGGCAAGGCTGGCGGAAATTGGCCCCCAATGGATGACCTAAAGCTCTGGTATGAAAAGATCACGGTCATCGGCGGGGGCGCAATCGTATCCCCTTCCGACGAGGCTGAAAGCCCCGAGGATGAGATTGACGATATGGATCTCGAAACAGAGGATCCTGAGCCTGAGCCTGTGGCTGGTCTCCACAACCAGCCGAGCGGTCTCGATGGTGTCGCTGCTGCCATGAGCGGTGTCACTGCTGAGTGGACTGGCATCGTTCAACCTGAGATCTCTCTGCCTGAATCTCAGGGCTACATGTCTTTTCCTGGACAAATCAGCTTGGAGAACTCACCAGCCAACCTGTCTTACAGTGAGGACAACTCTCCCCCGACCTGGGAAACCACTGCTTCCAGCTCGTTCGCTTCACCGGCCCTCGGCTTTCTGGGCCAGGAGTCACCTGCCGTAGCCTTCCCGGCCTTCTAACTCTCCAAGAGAGAAGTATGTGCCTGAAATTGATGGTGATGGCGACCTGGTCTCTTTGAAGCTTCGACAACCCAATTTGTGCGCAATATTACACTCTGGTGTGGGTTGTTCTCATGTTGAGCATCCATACGTGTGATAACCGGCTGATTCCTGACGCGTGAGAAAAAAAAGTTTTGCAAAATCCAGCGGCAAGAAAAAAAAAATCGATTTCGTCAAACATGAACTTTTCTTTTTCATATTATTTCAACCACATCAAACAACTTTTGGCAGGCAAGACCAAGGATTGAGGTACGGGCATCTTCAGCCTTGGCCTGCCATGCCCATTCGCTCGAGGCTGTAAAATGCACTCGTCCGGATGGCTGTCTACGAACATTCTTCTTCTTTTTCCTCGACGGTTCTTGCAATTTTTTCGTATCTTCCTTGCGATTTCGTCCTTCACTTCAACCAGCTTGTTTATTTCTTCTGGCTTTTGTTTTTCCTTCAATGGTCTTTCATCATCATCATCTCAACAACACAATTCTTTTTTTGGTCCGGGGGCGCATACGTTTTGCGGTCTCCTCAACCTGCTGCGCACGGTTGAAGGGAACGCTGTACAAAACCAACCCACGTTATATTCAACCTGTTTTCGGACTTGAGAAAGCCATCTCATTTCTTTCTCAACCCGGAATTTCACGGGTACACATTTTTAATTATTCTTCCTCTCTCATTTCTAATATGGGATCACCCAGTCTATTTCAACCAGAGAGGGGAAGGGAGGACAGGAAACGACTTTATCTACAATAGAGCGGAACGAGTTATGACACGCGATCTCACCGGGAAAAGCGGGCGATCGCTAATGATGATTGATGTTCGGGGGGTATACAGCAGGGTGTTTGGGGCGTCGCAACAGCATCATTCGAATCCTTTTGGGCCATGCGAGCATGGCCCTGAGGGCTGGCTGCGGAGATGTCGTTGTTTGTTTGTTATTTGATTGGTCTGCTTTATTTTCTTACTGCTTGGATTGTTAATTTTTCTGCGTGTCTGCCCTGGGGCGGCCACGGGTAACAGGCGTTTCATGGCTGGAGCGAAATACATGCTCCATGTTGGGATGGGGTTATTTATGGGTGTATGCGCGATAGATAATGTTTCAATCTTGGTGAGGTGGGAAATACATGGCTACAGCAACTGCATGCCGCAGGGTGCTGATCTAGTCTGTTCTGTTTACACATCGATATCTCAGTTCAGTATGTGATCGTGACATATGTCTAGAGCCATGCCTTAGTAGCTAAGCAGAATATAGCCATCAACTCAATTCGATGTTAAGCTAGCATATTTAGTCTGACTATATCAATGATTCAACCCCAGATCGGCTATAGTTACTTCTATTCAGGCAGAATGCGTGTACTGACCTGTTTGTTCGCATCGTCACTGCGGCGCAGAAAGGCAGGATTCGCCAGCCTTCATCCCTCGATTTCGAAGGAGCAGAGAGTCTCCCTGGCATTGCCGGAGAGCGGCTGTGCAGTGGAGCGGTCGATCCTCCTGCACACTGGACGGAACATGCTGCCCTATTGGGTCGCCTCAGATGCATCGCTGACCAGTTCCGCCGGTCGGCCGTTGGCTGAGGCTGTGGAGAAAAGGCGGTTCAGCCGTCCACTAATTGAGAATGATCGGTATTGCTAGATTATCTCAGCCCTGGAGGGACGATGCGGACTGGCCGCCTAAAGATAGAAATAAGGCCTAGCCCCAATCGTCCCTGGTAGCGGCGAGCTTAATTGCCCCGTTGCATGGAGCCTCGCATCTTTCTTACCTACCCCGTTGAAATAGAGGGGTCTCCCGGTGTATAAAGACCTCGATGGCCGGTCTCTTTTCCCCCTCCAATTTGACATTGTGAGACGTAGAACTTCTCTTTCTCGACAGTTCTGCCCCCCAATTGCGCACAAGAAGGAAAGACGCTCGAACCCAGGCCAGCCACCCATGGCCAGCAACATGAACCCGAGAATCATCGTGCGGCAGGCCACGATCCTGGTGGACGGCAAAAGCAGCAGCGAAACCCACAGCCGCCATCGCATCGCCAGACACCAAAATGGACCGTCCCTGCACCAGCTCCCGGAGGCATGGGACACCCTCATAGCAGACATGACGGGGATGCACTCCGTCGCCGCCCTGCGCAGGTCCCTCGCCGCGCACGGCCGCGGCCACGGCGCCGTCTGCCTGCTCGTCGCCATCACCCTCAACCACGTGCGCCGGGTGCTCGCCCCCTCGGCCACCCAGTTCTTCTGGCCCCACGCCCTCGCGGACATGAAGCTCGCCCGCTCCTCGCCGCACCGCCTCCTCGAGCAGTCCGTCTCCTTCGACTGGGCCCCGCTGGCCGCCTGGGCCGCCGCCGCCTACTTCCTCGCCACGCTGCCCGCGCTGCTGGGCCAGCTCGTCACCGCCCACTGCGGGAGGCGCGGGGAGGAGAATAGTAGTAGCAGGGCTACGGCCGCCGCCTGCATCGTCGCCTACGTCGCCGCCAGCCTCGCATGGGCCGAGCACGCCTACGTCCAGTCGTGCTGGACGCTGGCGCAGCTCTACGCCTGCTGGAGGCTCGTCTCTCGCGGGGGGGAAGCCGAGCGGGCGTTCTTGCAGAGGCTGCTGGAGGAGCAGTCCGCGCGGGCGACGGCCGTGCTGGGGCTCGTTGCGCTGGGCCTGCACTTTCGCGTGCTGCCCGTGGCGCAGCAGGCGATGAAGGGCCACTGGCCGGGGGTGCTGGTGTATCTGGGGATGGCGGCGGGCACGGCCTACATGGTCAGGTACTCGAACAAGTTCTTTATTCTGCTGGAGTTGTCGGATATGTGGATTACGCTCGCGTGGTTTGGCGGCGCTTTCGTGCTGCATGGGATGGAGGTTTTACGGAGACGGGTGGAGGTTGATGATAGGGCTGAAGTGAAGAAGGGGACGTCACATGTATCAAAGACTAGATGATGGCACTTGGTCTGGAAACTTGAGTAAAATCAATTGACTTGTTCGTTCTTCATTCTTAAATCGTCTAAGTAAACCAGGTAAAGACAGAAACCCCTTGGCCATTTCTGGCCACGTCCAAATTACACCAAACTCTGATTTCCCCGTTGAGTGTCTGTTTAAGCGGCTGCCTCGACCATCTCAGGACCAACAGGTGGTTGGCTTCCTGCAATGTTGCACTGCCTGAACAGCCGGACCTCCTCCTCTGCAAAGGCGCCGACGACCGAGTGGATCAAACCTCGGTTGTGGAAGATGACGAGATCGCCCTCCTTCCAGTCGTGGGCGTACACCCTCTGGGGAGCAATGCCAGGCCGCTGCAGACGGTAGACGATCTCGCGAACCTTGGCCAAGTCATCGATAACTGTGCCGTCGGCCAGGTGAAGCCGCCTGACAGCCGACGGGTGGATCTGGAGATGCAGCTTCCCCGTCACGGGGTTGCGCCAGCACATGGGGAGGACCTGGATGGCCTCGGAGTTGATGGGGGGGAGGTCGGACTCTGAGAGCTCCCTGCCCTGCGAGACGAGGCCGAGCCCGGTGGAGCGGGACTTGGCTGGCGACATCCAGATGTAGGGATGGGCGGCGTATTCAACCTTGGTGGTGCGGGCAAACTCCTTGTCCTCGTCGGAGAGGATGTCGTACATTGTCTCGCCGTTGGCGAAGGCAGTTGTCCCGAGGGGAACGGTCATCTCATCGCCCGTGCCGTCGTCGTACCGCAGCGTCTGCGTGCGGCCAGAGGGCACGCGGACGGCAAGCAGCGTGGTCGCCACGGGGGGTGCGAGATCATAGAGGGCCGCATCGATGTGCCAGCGGTAGAACCTGGTGAAGTCGAGGTCCTCTGCGTCTGGGATTGTGGTGTCATGGAACGTCCGGTGGTGAGGGTGCCGGAGCCGGATGTTCTCCAGACCCTCGTAGGAAGGCACAAAGCCGTTTCCAATGACCTGGACCTGGGGCTGGTGCGGGACCGTCTTCAGATCAGGGTGCAGGATAGAGCGCTTGGCATCCAGGGTCTTGCCATGGCCATAGTTGGCAGTGGCTTCTGGGTCAAATCGCTGGGTGAGGCCGTACTGGGCCTTGGGGGTGACGTGCGACTGGTCCCTGATGACGAGAACCTGATGTCTGAACAGAGCATCACTAAGGACATCAAAGTCGGCATCTGCAGGGCAGAAAGTGGTCAGCCTCAATGGGTTCTGGGCCACAGTGAAAATGGCTATTCCTTACCAGGAGGTTACCGATTTTACGGGTATTCTCCCATTGAGATTGAGTTCTTCGCCTTCATTCGAAACATTCCATCGGATGCCCCGAGTGAGGTACTATATCAAGTTGCTCTCAAAGAATGAGGCAGCGACTGCAAAGCAATCATTATTCCTTACCAGTAAGATTCTCGACGTCAACACCAGTGACGGTGGCGCCAAAGTTGATAGCAGAGCCTTGTGGCGCAGCAATGGGCTCGACCTTTGCTTGCGAAGTTGCCATGGTTTAGATGAATGTGAATGTTTGGAATAATAACAAGTTCTATGAATATCTCGTGGAGATTGGTCTGAATTCAAGTGGCAAATCTGAGCCTGTCCGTCGTGGTGTTGGAGAGGAGGGAATCTTAGATTTGCAAGGTATGACCAGGCTGCATTTATACCCCAAATCTGAGATGTGGTGGGGTCCGATTCTTGAGGGGCAAGATCTCTTATCTCTACCGCGCAAGTCCCCGTTAGTCAATGTCGATGGAGGCACTGATAACGGTGGAACTGCGCCCGTTTGATTAATAAAGCGCTATTCCCGTGATGGCCCTGGGTTTATCAGTCGCCCGCGGAAGCTGACGATGGCCACATGCCTCTAGAGTAGTGCGGCCGCAGCCGCCCGTAGGTACAGAGCGGTTGGCATGAAGCAACCTCACAGACCAAACTCGCCCAAAGATACGATTCCTATCGCCAACGTTGTTAATCTTTTTATTCGAGGGTATCTAATCATATCAATTCGTGAATCTCGACAAGTACAATTCGGAGAGTGAAGCCCCCTCCCTCCCCTCTGCCTTGGAGCATTGGCAAACCGGGTATCCGTTCACATCGTCCTCGCACCTCAACTTTTCTTAACCTTTTCTGTCCATTCCTTGGCGCTCTTGACGCCCTCATGGGCTCTGCGAAACAAGCTCCTCTCCCACTCCTCCAGCCCTCGCAGGAACTCCTCCCCCTGACCCCCCAAGCTCCCATCATCCGCCTTTCTGGCGTGCAGGCCCACCTCGCCGGCCCGGACTACGAACGTCTTCCTGAGGGTCTGGCCGAGCTCGCGCTCGTCGAAGAGGTCCAGCATCCGCACCCCCACGCCGTACAGGTGCACGTTCTGTTCCCTGAGCGTGACCGAGCGTGGATCGGCCCGCAGCGCGGCGATGACCTGCTCGGAGAGACAAGGTGGCATGTTGAGTATCAGCGGCGCCTTGGAGTCTCCCGTCGAGGCGAGGGCGAGCATCTCGGCTAGCCAGAGGGGTAGGGACAGGGCGGTTCCTGGTTTTAGACCTGTTGTCGAGTTGTCGAGGTGGCCTAGGTAAGGGACGTCGAGTTCGAACGTACACGGCACTTTCTACGAGTGATGGCTGTCAGTGTCTGGTGTGTTGCACTGAACAGGCAATGCAAAATGCCTCAAGGAACTGAGAGGAAACAAACCTCGCCGTCTGTGAGGATGGCATCGACATCGTAGTAAGACATGTTGCACGCCTTGGACCGACTGTGCACCTTGGCCGATCGTCAATCGATTGCGTGCCTCTGCTAGATGAGCCTGTCCAGCGCGTCTGGTAAAGTGCCCCTCCAAGCCAAACAAGAGCGCGTTGGGGTTTGATAAGCGATAACCACTCTCCCGTATTTCCCCACCCCGGCCCAATTACAGGGCGGTTGATGCTAATGTGACGAACAAACTCCACTGAGAGCAGCCGTTACAAGGGCGCTGGGGCAATCGCACAGTGACGACACATTGATCTCAGATCCGAAGCTCACTCCCTGTAGATTACCTAAGCCCGAGCTCGCCCTCGGCTATCCGCTCTAGAGCTTTGCGTGAGTTGACATCATCTCCGTCCAGTTTGTTGTAATTTATCTCCGCCCCTCGCCCTCTCGACATCTCCAAGTTGTTGGTAAGTCCATTCTTGTCTGCTCGCAGTCGCCAATTTACACTCTTCATCTTCCTTGTTATCCTGTCTCCCAATTGACTCTTGGGATTATCTCCTGCTAGCTGAACTCTGAGAGCTAACCCACCGCCCGCTTTTTGCTCTAGCTGTCGACAGAAACCACCACAATGTCTGCCCTCTTCAGAACCGCTCCCGCCCTGCGCGCTGGCCTCCGTGCCTCCGCTGTTAAGCCTGTCGCTGCCATGGCTAGCACCACCTTTGTCCGTGGAAAGGCTACCCTTCCCGACCTTGCCTGTAAGCTACATCCCACCACGCCGATCTCCCTCCGAGGAGGGGAGAGAATTGGCGGCGCCCAGGTATGGCATGGCACAGCCAGCTAACACCCAATCCGCTCCTCGCGGGGCTGGAACAGACGACTACGGCGCCCTTGAGCCCTACATCAACGGCACGATCATGGAGCTCCACCACTCCAAGCACCACCAGACCTACGTCAACGGCCTCAACTCGGCCGTCGAGGCCATCGAGGAGGCCAAGGCTAAGAACGACCTCGCCACCGCCGCCGCCCAGGCTCCCCTCCTCAACTTCCACGGCGGCGGCCACATCAACCACACTCTCTTCTGGGAGAACCTCGCCCCGAACGGAAAGGGCGGCGGCGGCGAGCCCGAGGGCAAGCTCCTCGTATGTTGAAACTCTTCCCTAAACCCCGCCAGATCTCCTTGTTTCTAACATCCCCTCGCAGACTGCCATCAACGAGGACTTCGGCTCCTTCGAGGCCCTCAAGAAGCAGACCAACGCCGCCCTCGCCGGCATCCAGGGCTCCGGCTGGGCCTGGCTGGTCAAGGACAAGTCCTCCGGCACCCTCGGGCTCGTCACCCGCCCGAACCAGGACCCCGTCACCGGCAACCTGGAGCCCCTCCTCGGCATCGACGCCTGGGAGCACGCCTACTACCTCCAGTACCAGAACCGCAAGGCCGAGTACTTCTCCGCCATCTGGGAGGTCGTCAACTGGGGCACCGTCTCCAAGCGCTTCGAGAAATAGATTGTCCATTTTTATTCTTTGATCTGGTTCCCCGTGCGACGGAAAAACAGTAGTATAATAATGTACATATTACCTCGGGGGTTCTCAGACTGATGAGCAGCATGTGAAAAGGGACGATCGGGTTTCACGTTTGGACGAAGATGTAGCAAGTAGAGATTTTCTCAACAATTAAATAAAAAAAAAGTCTCAAAAGTATAATTTTGTTTTCTATATTTTAGAGGAGTTGGGAAATTTCGCCGAAAACAACGCAGTCCTTCAAGGAAGCGACACTTAAATCATCATCTCATTATCGTCGTCGTCAAGAACCCCTGAAGTACGGAATCTAAAAAATCAAATTGCAGACAGAGAGAGTTGGCTGCGACCCCCTTTCCGAGCCTTACTCCTCGGCGGGCTTCTTCTGCGTGAAGGAGCGAGGCAGGCGGTTCTCGCCCTCGGAGTACGGCTGGCCAGCCTCCTCACGGGCCAGGTCGTTCACCCACCTCTCGTTGCCGTCAAAGTGGTTCTTGCTAGCGCTGCCAGCCCACTTGGCGGCCAGGTAGAACCAGCCGAGGGCGTTGCCGACGGTGCCGACCTCGTCGCTGACGCCGGTGCGGGCCTCGTAGGCCATTTTGGCGTGGAGCTCGCTGTCGGTGCAGAGGTCCTTGAGGTGGCCGGCGACGGCCTTCCAGTCACCGGGGTTGACGAGGAATCCATTGATGTTCTCCTTGACCTGGAGGGGGATACCACCGGCGCGGGTGGCGATGACGGGGACACCGGCGTGGAGAGCCTCCGAGACCTTGACTTCGAATCCTTCGCGGGTGGAAAGCTGGAGGATGACGT